TACTGTGCCTTAGTGTGACTACAAGTCAGGGTGAGTCAACAGACTGGCTGGCTGAAGGGTTAGTGTTCACTCCACTAGCTCAATACCCAGAATGGTAACAAAGACCAGCAAAGCAAAAGCTGGGTTTTACAGAGCAAGTCTGTGCCTGCAGAAAGCAAACAGCCACAAATACCAAGACTGCATTTTCAAGAGCCAGGCATACGTGCTCCATTTACTCCCTTAGCGGTCAGGACTTTGGGGGAAGGGAGCAAGTGGTAATCAAACTTCCACAACAAATTACTGGCAACTCCAGAAAGTCCTTTCTTTACTTCACTTGTTAACATGATCAACCTCTGTCCACCTTCGTAATTCTAAAAAAATGCTATTCGTTCTTCAAAACCTCTTTGAGAACTCTACTCTCTGAAGCTTTTCCTGAACCCCCCATTTGTGTCCTCCACACTTCCACATCTTATAAACTACTTTTACTCTCGTAATCACTCATCCTGCATTCACTGGAGTTATTTATTTATATATTCTGTCTTCTCCACTGAACTCTAAGACTTTCCATGTCAAGCTGGACCTTGTTTATCTGTGTTCCCAAATGATCACCAGTGCCTGGCACATAAAAGGGACTCAAAACTTCTTTCTTGAATTAAATTAACCTCTAGCAATAAAAGGAGACAGCAGAAGACTCTATTCTGGAACTTTTCATCCTTACTCAATAAGAATATGGATAATGAGGCACTTAAGTAGAAGAAAAAGAATACCTCTAGTTTAGCTACTAAAATACCTCAGTATTAATACAACCTACTCTGATTTAAGAACTCATTATTACTTTATCTGAATTAGACTGAAATTTACCTTGGCAAGTCATATAGACAGAGTTTGTTACAAAAACTAATGGCAGAGCCGATGTGGGGAGGGAGAAGAGTAAGGAACTACTACATTTACCTATCTCTTAAGAGTAAGCCTCTTAAGGGCTATAGAAAAATTTTTATATAGAAAAGAATGTTACCTTTTATGAATAAGAAAAAAACAAGAGCAAATCTACTGCACAGAGCAACTCTTGGCCCAGAAGTGGTTGGCATTTTTCATATCTAGCAGTTCACACTTACACTTCACTCTTCAACAGAATTTACACTAATAACCTTTCTCAATGCCTTAAATCACTCACTCAACTCTTGCTGTTGTTGTTGTTAGGTGCCGACGAGTTGGTTCTGACTCATAACAACCCTATGTAAAACAGAAAGAAACACTGCCCAGTCCTGCGCCATCCTCACAATCTTAGTTATGCTTGAGCCCACTGTTGCAGCCACCATGTCAATCCATCTTGTTGAGGGTCTTCCTGTTTTTTGCTGACCCTCCACTTTACCAAGCATGATGTCCTTCTCCAGGGACTGATCCCTCCTGATAACATGTCCAAAGTACGTGAGACGTAGTCTCGCCATCCTCGCTTCTAAGAAGCATTCTGGTTGTACTTCTTCCAAGACAGACTTGTTGGTTCTTTTGGCAGTCCATGGTATATTCAATATTCTTCCCCAACACCAAAATTCAAAGGCATCAATTCTTCTTCGGTCTTCTTTATTCACTGTCCAGCTTTCACATGCATTATGAGGTGATTGAAATTTTAAAATTTAAAAGGTGACAAATGTTATGAATAAGCAACTTATAGGAGAAATGTAAACAGCTGATAAAGATATTAAAAGATGCTCAGCCTCATTCTATTACAAGAATACAAATGTAAACAGTGGTGATAGTTACACAAGGTGAACATAACTGTACACATAAAAATGGCTAAAATGGCAAATGTTTTGTTACATATTTTTTACCAAAATAAAAAAGTATACAAATTTAAAAAATGATTTCATTTTTCATCTATTTTTTGTAAAAATTAAAAGACAATATTAAATGTTAATGAGACAATGGAAAAACATGCACTCTCAATGTACAGTTGATGGGCATGTAAATTTGCATATTTTTGGATGTGATTTGGCATTATCTATCAAAACGGTAGCATCCCTAGGTAGTGTAAATGGTTGATGAACTCGGCTGCGAACCCAAAGGTTGGAGGTTCAAGTCCAGCCAGAGGCACCTCAGAAGAAAGGTCTGGCAATCTACTTCCCAAAAAAATCAGCCATTGAAAACCCTATAGAGCACAGTTCCACTCTGTCACACATGGGGTCACCATGAGTCAGTCGACTCAGTGGCAACTGGTAAATGGTATCAAAACTGTAAAAGAGCATATCCTTTGTCTCAGCAATTCCATCTCTAGAACTATAACAGAAATATTCAAAGTAGGCAAACATATATGTAAATGAAACTGGAAACATCCCACATGCCCATCAACAGGACACTACTTAAGTAAAGCACTTTACATCAACATAGTGGAATGTACTCACTAGAAAAAATATGGAAGATCTACATATGCAGAAATGAAAAAAAATCTATATATTGTTAGGTAAGAATATCACTGTTATTTTTAAACACAAAACAAAATTACATACCTATTCATGTATTTATCTCTACGTGAGCTTAAAAAAGTCTGAATAGTGTTAGTGGCTACATTTGGCAAATGTGACGACTACACTATTTAAATTTTTGCAATACATCTGTACTACTTTTTATTTTTATGTGTTGTTGTGTATTTATGTAAGAACAAACAATGGTTAAAAGCACAGATTCTAAAGTCAACAATCTGGATATGCATGTCTACCAGCTACAAGCAATGTGACGTCTCTGCCTAACTATCCCTCTTTGTGAAAACAAGAAGACAACCAAAATTAATACTAACAACAACTATGTTTTAGGACCATGGTTAGCATGAAATGAGTTAATAAACAAGAAGCACTTGAAATGATGCCCGGCACAGAGTAAGCAGCATGTGAACACTGTCAGCCAGTATCATCCATGGACAGCATTTTACAGAGACACTAAATGAACCACGCCATGACCCAGATGCCATCTAAATTCTAAGGAAACAAACAAAATTATCAATAGACAATTATTATAGCAATTCACTGGTTTAAGATAACTAACAATACTCTATTTTTGTGTTTTGAGATTATTCTTAGAGGACATTGTACAGACTTTTATAAGAAAGGCCATGAGGCACAATGAATGCCTCGTGCAAGATGATCTAGGGCCCAGATTTGAGCTCTGCTCCCCTCTATGGGGAGTCCCCTTCACTTCATCTGTCAAAGAAGGAAGGTGACTTAGACCATCTCCGAAGTCTCTCCTAAAGCCAAGTCTAATATCCTAATGGGGTAATTTTACTGTTTAAAATGATTGTGTATCTTCATAGCTGCCTCTTCTTCAGTCTTCCTTATTCATCATCCAGCTTTTGCATGCATATGAGGCAACTGAAAATACCACAGCTTGGATCAGGCACACCTCAGGCCTCAAAGTGACATCTTTGCTTTTTAACACTTTCAAGAGGCCTTTTGCAGCAGATCTGCCCAGTGCAATCTGTCCTTTGATTTCTTGACTGCTGCTTCCATGGGTGTTGACTGTGGATCCAAGTAAAATGAAATCCTTGACAACTTAAACATCTTCTCTATTTATCATGATGTTGCTTATTTGTCCAGTTTTGAGGATTTGGTTTTCCTTATGTTGAAATGTAATCCATATGAAAGCTGTAGTCTTTGACCTTCATCAGTAAGTGTCTTAAGTCATCTTTGCTTTCGCAAGCAAGGTTGTTCGTCTGCATATCACAGGTTGTAAACGAGTCTTCCTCCAATCCTGATGCCGCATTCTTCATATAGTCCAGCTTCTTGGATTATTTGCTCAGCATACAGACTGAGTAAGTATGCTGAAAGGATACAACCCTGACGCACACCTTTCCTGACTTTAAACTATACAGTATCCCCTTGTTCTGTTCGAACGACTACCTCCTGGACTATGTACAGGTTCTGCAAGAGCACGATTAAGTGTTCTGGAATTCCCATTCTTCACAATGTTATCCATAACTTGTTATGATCCACACACGTGAATGCCTTTGCACAGTCAATAAAACACAAGTAAACATCCTTCCGGTATTCTCTGCTTTCAGGTAAGATCCATCTGACATCAATTGATGTCTTTGAATTATGGTGTTGGTGAAGAATATTGAATATACCATGGACTGCCAGAAGAAAGAACAAATCTGTCTTGGAAGTACAGTCAGAATGCTCCTTAGAAGTGAGGCTGGTGAAGACTTCGTATCACGTAACTTTGGACATGTTATAAGGACCAGTCCCTGGAGAAGGACATCATGCTTGGTGAAGTAGAGGGTCAGTGAAAAAGAGGAAAACCCTCAACAAGATGGACTGACACAGTAGCTGCAACAATGGGCTCAAACATAGCAACGATTGTGAGGGTACCGGAGGACTGGGCAGTGTTTTGTTCTGTTGTACACAGGGTTGCTATAAGTCAGAATCAACTTGACGAAATGTTAACAACAACATGGTTGCCTCAAAAAAAGAAAATACTGCTAGTCAGTATATCCTGTATCGAAATACAATTCCATATTAAAATATAGGCCTCACACAATAAAAAGTCCTTCAACAACAGTCTCTTGGAATACACTGCAGCAAAAAGAGACTTCTTCTATCAGAACATTACATGATTACATTTCTTTACAAGCATTCTATAACTCACACATTCATTTAAATGGCTTCTTTCCACCCATCTCAAGCCCTCATGCCATAAATACAGTGGTATTTTACTGTGTTCACCAAGACGCCATAGTTTCATAACTACATGGAGAATAAGAAACTTTTTCTCACCTGTTAAAACCCTAAAACCAACTGTCTGGATCCCTGGTGGCACAGTGGTTAAGAGCTATGGCAAGCTACAGCTGCTAACCAAAAGGTCAGAATCCTCCGGCTGCTCCTTGGGAACTCTATCGGGCAGTTCTACTGTATCCTATAGGGTCACTATGAGTCAGAATCAATTCAATGGCAACCAGTAATGGATAAAACCCTAAAATATCCTGCAGAGTAAAAACGCCTGGTACACGAATGAAGAGAACACAAACCACTTACACGAAATGCTGCAAGGATGATTCTTGTTACTTTCTCTTTGACGGATTCTTGAAGGATATCAGACAGAACAGGAATGATATTGTAGCGCCTCAAGTGTTCACACATTTGAGGACTGAACGCCAGAAGCCATATCGAGAAAATCATTTGATACTGGAGTTGAAAGCCACACTTGTTACTCAAAACTCCCATTATGCTGAAAAGAAACACACATTTAGAAAACACGTTTAATATGATAGCACAGTAAGAATGAAGAAATGATTAACTGTTCTTATCTTCTCGCACTAATGGAAAAAGTCTCTCTGATTAAATTCACAGTTTCTTTTCTGTCAGCAGTGAAAAGCAGCCAGATCCCCTGCTCACAGAAGGCCATTTTCCATCTCAGTTCCATTTAACCCTCTCTCCAAAAGTCTCGGGGCCTCCAGAGGCAGCAGCACTTGGTGCAGGGAGGTGATGAAAAGATAACAAAGACTTGCAGTAGGGCACAGGGAATGGTAAGAGAAGCATGACAGACATGAAAGAAGCGAAAATCAACAGGACTTAGCAACAAGGATGTGAACCTTGGTGAAATCAAATGTTACATCATGATTTTGAGTCTGGACAACCAAGAGAATCATTTATAGCTTTACAATATATAGGAAACTCAAGACAAAAAAGAAGGGATGAGTTTGCAAGAAACTTATTATAGGCCCAAATTTGACATAACCAATCACTGAGTTTCAGGGGTAGAGAAGACCTCAGAAGCTTCTAGATTGACCTCTTAGTTTACTATAAGGAAACTGGGAAAGCTACATAGAAATCAAAGAGGCACCACCAAGGGAGAGAACATATATAATAGCAGAAGAGAGCTAAAGAAATTCCCCTGGGTTATGTCCACATTCAGACAATGATGGCCAGAAATCATCAAATAAGACTAATAAAAAATGACCAGAGGAGCTGAGAGAGCTCAGAGACAGTGCACTGCTAAGAAAACCCAGATGGAAAGGCTTCAAAGACCAATGGTCCACAATGATGCAGAGAAGCTGAAAAGAGTAAATTTTCCACAGTATGCATGAATCTGCTGAAAAAATAAATACTTTTTCTATATCCAAATATTAACCACAAGAAAATACCCTAATGAAGCAAAATAAAACTCCCTGTTTACCAGGATGAGGAAGGGATTCATTTAGGGACAAGAATCTTAACCCTGAACATGAAAACGAGCAAGCTAAGGAGACACCAAGGACATACAGACCCATACTAAACCTGAATACAGTAATGTCACACATACTGCTAAGAATCTATGTGGCAGAACAGCGTAAGGCACGGGGCATATATGGTGGGTGAAAACAGACAAGGAGCTTACAATCTAGCAGAGTGAAGGGAAGGATTCCCTGAGGAGATGACAGCAGCTGAGAGCTGAAGAATGAGTGGGCATTAATTACCAATTAGATTTTTGCTATCCCTCATATCACTTTGTTAAATAGGACTGCTGCTTTAAAAAAAACCAAATCACAAAATGTAGAGCTACAGTCAAAGTCACTAAATTATGCTATAAAATTCTAAATGATAGCTTTGTAACAATATTTTCCAACTAGACTGTAAATTTCTTGAAGGGAAGAGTCATTATTTTTCTTTATATTCCCAATAATAACATGTAGCCCAACTTTATGCAGAGAGCTCAATGAAAAGAAATAACTGTCAAATCCAAGAGTAGAAAGACGAAGGTTCACAAGGCCAAATAACTATTCAGTATTGTTTTGTTTTTTAATTAAGTTTAAAAAAAAAAAAAAACCAATGTAGGGAATAGGGAGACAAAACAGCTGGCTTATGGCCAGCTTGTACACTTTAAGCTAACTGAGGCTCTTAAAATCCACAGAGCACCTCATCACTCAATGTCACCCAATAATGTACTCCTCTGATTTTTTTTTAATCTCACTTTTTATCTACATATTATTTTACAATTTTCAAAATACTTCAAATTGAGGGTATAAATATTCATAAATGCTGGCTGAATTTGTGGAGGCAATTACCCCAGCAAAAGCCTCCTTTTAGCTCCATAAAGGAGAAACAGGCTTTGTGAGGCCAAACATAACCACCCTCATGGGTTCCGCTAGTTCACTACAGTTTGCTGAGTCATTCTTATGTAAGCCCCTGGCTTATAGCCACTATTGTCCGCCACTGCTATAAAACCTCTGCCCTCCCACTGTGGAGCACGGAGATTTGCCTTTGGCCTGCTGCCGCCCAGGACTTGCCACGTGTATGTCTCCCTAATAAACTCCTTTGCTGGTACCCTAGAGTCGTCCACCTCTTTCTTCAGTCTCTCAGTGCCCTCCATTTTTGGAGGCAAATTTCACATCACTGGTCCATGCCTGGACACGTCAATATTTTAAAAAGGAGAAGCTCTGGTGGAGCAGTGGATAAGCATTCAGTTGATATCCAAAAGGTCAGCAGTTTGAAACCACCAGCTGCTCTGCAGGAGAAAGATGCATAATCTGCTTCCGTAATGATTACAGCCTTGGGGAGGCAGGGCCGAGACGGCGAAGTAGTCAGACACTTCCTGTGGTCCTTCTTACAACAAAGACCCGAAAAAACAAGTGAATTGACTGTATACGACTATCTAGGAAACCTGAACATCAAAGGCAAAGTTGAGGAATCGGACTGAGCGCGGGGGGAGGGAGAGACGGTTTGGAAGCAGTAAGGAGTTGCCAGACCTGACCCAGCAGGAGCCTGAAACCTTCAGGCCGGATCAGCAACTGTGCACGGTGAGGCTAGCAATGGTGCCCCGGAGGCATTTTCCACATCAGGAGAGGCCCAGTGGCAGACAGTCTCAGTTATCCAGAACCAGTGAAATGCAGCACTCAAGCAGCTAAAGATAAGTACTTGCATGTGGCCTACCGCAGGGATTAAAAAAAATATACCCCATTTGGGAAAAACTTTTTGCCCATTTACCTCCACCCTCCCTGCTCTGAACTGGGTCCCAGCCAGCTTCAGCGATTGCTGAGTCACCTGGGCTGTAAGTAGGACCCTGAAGGCGCCCTAAGCCATTCTCCTGGCCTTGGAGAGGGAACAAATTAACAAACAGGGAAAAATAAGCTACTGTAGCACCCCTAAGCCAGGATCTCAGGGTTGGCACAGCTCCTTTCCCTAAGCACAGGCATAAGGGGTCCACAAACTCTGAATGCCTTTCAACTCTGCATAGACTTGTGTGTGCCCATTTCAACAGGGTAAGCCCTCACTACCACAGTACAAAAAGGTATATACCTGAAGTCTAACTTCAACTGTTTCAGCTGTGAAGTGGCAGGTTTGTGAAGTTTAACGCTGCTCTGCCCATTAAGCAGTCTCCTCACCTACCCATATAAGGGGCTTGAGGACTGGTGGCTCCACCCACGCCATCTACCCACTTGCAACAGGGGTCCAAGAGTAAGTGGTGCCCCCAGTCCTTACAGCCAACAGCACTGGGTGCTCATAGTCCGGCTGCAAAACTCACCAACCTGCTCGCTCTAGGGGACAGGGACATGCTTTCCTTTCAGACACTCGGGCAGCTTTCAGCCCCCTGCCTAGTTAGTAACAGATCTAACTACCTGGTGAGAAGACGTTAGAGCTTCAAAGGCACCAATAATCAAACTACCACACACGAACAGCCAATTCGGGCATATCAAAACAAAACAAAACAAAACAAGAAGCTAAGTCACAGTAAGCAAATACAAAATAAAAAAATTATAATAACTTATTGATGGCTTGGAGACAACAGTCAATATCAAATCGCATAAAGAGGCAGACCATGTTGGCTTCAGCAAGCCCCCAAAATAAAGAAACACTAAATTTTCTGGAGAATTTGTTGGAATTACCGGAGGCAGAATACAAAACATTAATATATAGAACTATTCAAGAAATTAGGAAAGAAATTCTTCAAACACAGAGAAAGCCAAAGAACACACAGACAAAGCAGTAGTGGAACTTAAAAAGCTTATTCAAGAGCATAATGACAAATTTAATAGGCTGCAAGAATCCATAGAGAGATAGTAATTAGGAATCCAGAAGATTAACAATAAAATTTCACAATTAGACAACTCAATAGAAAGTCACAGGAGCAGAATTCAGGAAGTAGAAGTCAGAATTAGTGAGACTGAAGATAAAGCACTTGACACCAGCTTATTTGAGGAAAAATCAGATAAAAAGATTTTAAAAAATGAAGAAACTCTAAGAGTAATGTGGGACTCCATCAAGAGAAATAACCTATGAGTGATTGGACTACCGGAACGGGAGGTGGGGGAATAACAGAAAATACAGAGAAAATTGCTGAAGGTTTGTTGACAGAAAACTTCCCTGATATCATGAAAGATGAGAAGATATCTATGCAAGATGCTCATTGAATCCCACATAACGTAGATCCCAAAAGAAAGTCACCAAGACATATTTACAATCAAACTTGCCAAAACCAAAGACAAAGAGAGAATTTTAAGAGTGGCTAGGGATAAACAAAAAGTCATCTACAAAGGAGAGTCAATAAGAATAAGCTTGGACTACTCAGCAGAAACCATGCAGGCAAGAAGGCAATGGGATGACATACAGAAAGCCTTGAAGGAAAATAACTGCCAGCCAAGAATTATATATCCAGCAAAACTGTCTCTCAAATATGATGGTGAAATTAGGGCATTTCCAGATAAAAGTTTAGGGAATTTGCAAAAACCAAACCAAAACTACAAGAAATACTAAAGGGAGTCCCCCGGTTAGAAAATCAATAACATCAGATAACAACCCAAGACTAGAACATGGAAGAGAACAATCAGATATCAACCCAGACAGGGAAGTCACGAAAAATAAATCAAAGCTAAAACACTGAAATAGGGAAACAGATGTCAATACGTAAAAGATGACAACATTAAAAGAAAAAAGAGGGACTTAAAAAATGTAGACACAGATTTTTCACATGGAGAGGAAGTCAAGGCAATATAAAGAAATAAAAGGCTGGTATAAACTCAGAAAAACTAGGTGTAAATATTAAGGGAACCACAAAGGAAACTAACAATCCTACAAGTCAAAATAAAAAATGAGAAAAATATAAAGACTCAGCAAATACAAAATCAACAACAATGAAAAAGATGAAAAGAAATACATAAAGAAAAACAACTGAGCATAGAAAATTAAGTGGAACAAAGAAACTGTGAACAACACACACACACACACAAAAGACATCAAAATGACAGCACTAAA